TTGTCCTGATACATATTTAGGTTTTACTGCTCCATGATAACGGTTAAATTATTCTTCCATCACTGTGTTCCTTTTTAGGGAATGATTTGTAGTTGGATCGATGACATCTATGAGCAAACTTTACAATTCACCAGTGCTTCTGCTGGTGAATTTTGATTAGGTGCATTTTAGATTGTGTGTAGCACTGTAACTGCCAAGGAAAATTTCGTGTGGGGTTCCATCCCCTTTGAGTTTGAGGAGTGACCTCTTAAAGATATTTACAACACGCTCCACTTGTCCATTTTTATTGTGGATGAAAAGCTGCTGTCCTAATGTGTTGAATACCATTATGTGCACAGAAAGTTGAAAATGCAGCTGAAGTGAACGCAGTGCCATTATCAGAAACTAGTATCTGTGGGACTCCAAATAAACTGAAGATTTGTTTTAACTAAAGAAATGTTTCATCCGAGGTGATGCGATTCATTTGAAAATGTTCTGGTCATTTGTTGTAAGCATCAACAATGATAAAATAATGTTGGGTCCAGCAAAATCAAATGTGAAGGCGTGACCAGGGTGAGTCAGGTATAGGCCAGGAATTGAGTGTAGTTTTCCTGGGATATTTTACTGCCAGTTGGCAACCGAAACATGTGTGTACTAATTTCTCCAAAGGTTTGGTCATGTTTGACCAATAAACATAGCTGCATGCTATGGATTTCATACGGTTAATACCTTGATGACCATAATGGAATTGCTTTATCACTCTTTCGCATAAGGAAGATGGGAAAATAATAATAATAATAAACTCACTCAATAATAATAATATTGATAATAATAATCCCAAACAACAATGATAATAACCTGGCTCAATTATAATAAGCTCGCTCAATAATAATAATAATGTCACTTAAAATAATAACCTCGCTCAATAATAATAATAATATTAATAATAATCTAGCTCAATAATAATAGTAATCGCACTCAATGCTAATAATCTTCCGCAATAATAATAACCTCACTCAATAATAATAATAATCTCGCTCAATAATAATAATGATGATGATAATAAACTCAAACAATATTAATACCCTCACTCAATAATAAGCTCACACAATAATAATAACCTCATTCAATAACAATAATAACCTCACTCAATAATAAAAATAATCTTAATAATAATTTCATTTAATAATAATAACGTCACTGAATAATAATAATAATAATAATAATAATAATTTCATTCAATAACAATAAAACAAGTTAACAGTTGCTTTTTTTTTTGCTTTTATTTGCTTTAATGAGTAACGATAATAAGAAATGAAGTCGAGAATTGGGAAGCATGGCAACTCTTTTGTCTTTGAAAGTATCTTCTACAGTGATAGCGTGCGTTCACCCGTAAACATTACCCTCGCCATCTTAAAGTAGACGATACACAGACATTGACATTACGCATTCAACTTTCTCAAAATTACTTACCTATTTATTTCTAATACAGATACCAACGAATGTTTGGCTGACAATGGTGGATGTGAACAGATTTGTCAGAATAGGATTGGTAGTGTCATCTGCTCTTGTCGCCTGGGTTACGTCCTCCAGCTGGACAACCGCACCTGTGCAGGTAAGCAACTCTTCTGACCTTTACTGTTCATGTTAGATCACTCGTGACCGTTGTATGTCCATATATACTAATGAGAAAGACTACGACACCATCTTTTTAAAAATCTATATAAATAAAGCCACTCTTCTTTTACGTCATATTCTTTCAGGACATGTGTGTAAGCAACTTCCTAAGTAATTTTGACTCTTCACCATCATTCTTAATCCTTGTTCTGCGAACCTTTCACGAGAACTCGTTAAATAAGTGATTGTTTACGGCAGGAATAATTGAACAGTCTTCTTTTTCGTGTATGGAGATCCTGTTAACATAGCCAATAACTTGACCTGAAAAACTTACTTAAAAAAGGAAAAAAATTTCGTCTACGTAAAGACGAATATTAAGTTATATTTTTGAAAACATGAGGAAAAATGTTTTTTTTTCAACTTTTTGTTGAGGTTGTGTATTTGTATTTGTACCTGTGCACAAAGTTCTGAACACATACAACTCCCGTTGGCCACGAGAGGTCAGAAGGTCGAAATAACAAATCGTTCACCAAGGGATTTTTAGAAATCGCAATAAATCCCTTTGAGCGTGAGAGGTTGTGATACTATGAAAGCCACAGCACGTCTGTGTGAAAGTGACTGTAGACAAGATGCCAGATCAGGACCTATCACATTGCATAACACTGTATGGGGTGATATGCTTAAAAAAAACTAATTCTAGCAGCTCAGTGGGGAAAAACTGGCTGGTCATTCAATCCCTCAAAGATCAAACGAATGACCTTCCACCATCATCGATCGGACTCAGGTGTTTTGTCAATTGTGATGAACGGATGTTCCCTAGGAGAGGTCCATGTATTGAGCGCCTATTGAGACTTAAATTCAGCCCAGATCTTAAATGAAACTCATACATATGATCCATTGCTAAAGATACTGGGAAAATGGTCAGAGCCCTGTGCTGCTACCGTAAGTACCTGATTCTACCTTTACAAGAGCCAGATCAGGCCAAAAATGGAGTACAGCTGCTATATATGGGCGGGAGTTGCCCAATCTTCATTTTACAAAAGCGTCTTTAAGTCCTTGTAGGCGACTAATTATTCCCCACTCTTTCATAGACGAGACTTCGCAAATCTCTCACTGGTCTATCGCTATTTCTATGTTGAGTGTTCAGATGAGCTCCACCAGTCCTAATCTTCACAGCTAAGACCCGCCATATCACTCACATTGCAGCGAATCACCCTCATTCCCTTCAGATCCCCTGGTGAGATGTACACTCCTGTCCAAATTAATTGAAACAAAACGAATAATTCCGTTATTATTTACTTTTTCGTATTTTTCCAATGAAACATGACCCAGTTCACTTGTTAGTACTTAGTATGTCCATTCAACGAAGTCGTTCTTTGCAGATTGACCACAGATTGTCGACTTGATTTAAATCAAGAGAGTTTCCGGGCCAGTCTATAGTACTTTGATATGCTCACTGGTAAGGCTTGCCAGTGTGTTCCTGTAGCGTTACAATTTTCGTAGGCTTCCTTGGAGTAACGTCTATCTCAGACAATGGCGTAGGACAACTAATCAACAGTCTAGACATTAGTGTCTGGGCATGATGAAAATCTGATACAGTCACGGATGACGCAATATTTTTCAAGGTCAAATAAATTTCATCATACACCTCGAAAATATGTTCATATTACTACACAGCACTGCAAATTACCTAATCTGAGGAAAAAATAGAAATGGATTACACCCTGTCACTCCAGTGGGTCTAAAACTGACCGTATGGTTAAAGAATGGAAACTAAAGCAGTTGTTTCAATTAATTTGCTTAACCGTTTACGTTCCACTCGAACAGTTTCTTTCGACGGACCACTGCCTTGTGGAACCGACTCCAAAGAGGTTGCTTTCCCAATCACAATCTTAATCTGTCCAAGTGTAGTGTTAATATTTATTTTCCGCATATATCCGCATAAACTGTACCTCGTATTATGTAACCCTCTACCTTGAGTGACCTGACGGCCTGGTACAGAATGAACACCACTTTAAAATGGGTGTTTATTAAATGTATGAAATTTCCGGATGACAAAAAAAAAAAAAATTATTTTTGCAACAATTTTGTAATTGCGACTTTTTTTTGTTTGTTTCTTTTTTATTTTCAAACTTCTTTTCGCAGCATAGAAGATAAAAATATTTTCAGAACGGAAGAGAGTTTATCCAATTTTTAACCACTTTGGAATTAATATCTTTGGAGATATCTCGCGAGCATTTTTCTAAGTCTTTTTTTCTTTGACATGAAATCTGATAATGATTTTTTAAATGTAGCAATTAACCCTTTGAGCCCTGCGTTTCTGAAAAATTTTAACCCTTCTGCCTGAGCTCCTGAGTTAAAATTCGCAAATAATTGGTATGTAATGTTTAACGATATATATAAAAATAATTACAAAAAATATAACTTCCTGATTGCTTTCCTGACGGTCCAGGTTGAGACTATGCACGCTTCATTGTGAAAACGATCTTTTTTTTATCCTAAAGTGTTATGGTCCGGTTCCTTGTGCCACGGTGATAGTCCAAGGTAGAACCAATAAAGAAGAACTCGAACACGGATATGGAATAACACAGATATATTACAAACAGGAATATATACAGAGAAGTAGAAAGTGTTAGTACGAACAATCAGGTTTAATAGTAATTGTCTGAACGCGAATCTGTTTCGGACTGCCTCTGACTCGACTGACTGATTAACAGACTCCTGGCGGACTTCACTCCAGACTTCAGACTGAACTCCCTGCTTCCTCTTGAGGTGCAGTATTTATTACGGATGGAATAGTCCATTATATTATTATGGGTAAGGTCCCATAACAAAAAGGCTTGCACAAAACACAACATGTTGGTATAATGTTCGATAGCATCAGAATACTACGGCCTTTCTGATTGGCTCTTCAAAATAAGACAACCAATAACAAAACACGACGTAAGTGTTTGCCCACTGTTCAACCGGTGGCTGGGCATTAAGTCATTTTTCTCTACCATTGTCGAACCGGTGGCTGGGTATTACATCATTTTTCTCTACCATTGTTGAACCGGTGGCTGGGCATTAAGTCATTTTTTTCTACCATTGTTGAACCGGTGGCTGGGTATTAAATCATTTTTTTCTACCACAGTTAAAACGGTGGTCAGAGTTCAAAGGGTTAATGAAAGCATGGTTCTAGTGCAGCTGGCGTGATATCTCGCAAAAAAATATATTTGATCCTAGTCATCTTACTTTGAGAGTTAATTTGTTGATGCCAGAGATATTGAAATTGCTGATTCGCCTGAAGCGGCTGACAAAATATTTCAGATATGAAGTGACATAAAAAATATCCAGCTCGCTAATTCTTAAAATAGATTCTTTGATTTTCTTTTACCCTCTTTTTTTTATTATTTTATTTTTAGACAAGAACGAATGTCTTGAAGAGAGCAAACTGTGTGACCAAAACTGTGTCAACTCTGTCGGTTCCTACCGGTGCACATGCCAACGGGGCTATTTCCTTTTGCCAGACAAGCGAACTTGCAAAGGTGAGAACTAAAAATAGTACTTCTCTTGCCAAGAATGATATTTTAGCAGATTGTAGTAATAATCAGAATTTAATAATTAAAATAGCTAGCACTGAAATATTTCAGATAAGATCTCAATAACAGAATCTAAGAGTCATAGATTTAAATAGATATTGATGTAATGGAATAACCTGTCACCACCATGAGTGACTATAGGTAGTAACTACCTATAAGTATCTGTAAGTCACCGGACTACAGAGACTAGCTGCGACCTGTTCCAGCTAAACAGACGAACTCTCTGCCTCTGAACAGATAGGAACCTGGACGAGGCTCCGCCGAAGGGCAGAGTCTCGTTCAGGGAGGTAGACTGACCCTGAACCCGTTTATACGGATTCAAAAGGGAATATCTTTTGGCCGAGCCTACGGGCTCGGAAATCCACGTTAAACCCGGCGTTGTGACACATACAACCCTCGTGGCGGGTAGCTAAATATACTACCTGCGACCTGTTCCAGCTAGACGGTGGAACTCTCTGCCTTCGGACAGAGAGGAACCCGGACGAGGCTATGCCGAAGGGCAGGGTCTCGTTCGGGGAGATAGACAGTCTCGATCCCGTTTATGCGGGGTCTACTGGGATTTTTTGGCCGAGTTTACGGTTTCGGGAACCCCACATTAAATTCGGCCTCGTGCCACATGTTACTGCGTGCAGCAGTTGCTAGATACTCTAGCTGAAATCTTTTCAGCTGTACTGTCGAACTCTCTGCATTCGGACAGCTGTTTCCCGAGACGAGGCTATGACGAAGGGCAGAGTCTCGTCTCGGGAAACAGCTACCCGATCCCGTTTTATACGGGGTCTACGGAGATTTTTGGCTGAGCCTACGGGCTCGGATGCCCCGCATTAATCCCGGCCTTATACCACATCTGATTGCGTGGGGAGGTTAGTAAATACACTAGCTGAAATCTTTTTCAGCTGTGCAGGTCAGACTCTCTGCCTCTGAGCAGAGAGGATCCCCAGACGAGTCTTTGCCGAAGTTTGAAGGTTAACTATTTGCTCATAGCTGGGATCCTAACAAGTTCTAACACCACGGGTCAGGGTGGACCTGGGAACAAGAGCAATTAAGAGGTGGTTCCACGCTCCACAAAACCTCATGATTAGAGGCCTTGCTGCCCGATGTAATTTATCGTCATATCCAGGATGAGCTTAAATTAAATTTCTATAACATTGTCACCGCAAAATTGTCCTAACTCTATGGTTTTTAATTAATTTATGTTTGAAAGAAATAAGATCGATTATTGTGTCACATCTTTTTGATTCTTTCGAGTGAAAAATAAATTGTACATTTTATTTATTTTATAGTAATTTAAAGATGAATATCATTTATTAAAATTTAAGATGATATTTTACGCGATATATTTCAGAATTAATCTATTTAACAACTGAAATTTGACTGAGCTCAACAAACATCTAAAAAGAAACAAAGATGGTGTTAATAGCTATAATAAGCTAGTCTCGTGCGCTAGTCTCGTTAACGATTGTGAGTTCATAACTCATTGAACGTAATTTTATACTAAAGTTGACGTTGTACAAAAATGATTTATTTCACTTTGCAGACGAGAACGAATGCTTAATGAACAATGGAAACTGCAGCCACATCTGTGTAAACACCGATGGTTCATACAAGTGTAAATGTCGTTCAGGTTTTACACTCAAATCAGACAAGCAGTCATGTGTGGGTAAGTGCTACATTCAAAACGCTAGAATTTTTTAAAACTGTCACCTCTTGTACCAAAAGCAAAATTGAATTCTCAAGAGAACCTTTTTTATTTCCTATTGAGTCCTTAATTTTCACGACGCACACGACTTAGGACTTTTGTGGTTTTAATTTTTGTTCTTTATTTTTATATTATTTTGATTTAAACTTTTTCCCCCTAAATCTGTGTGTATGGTTTCATATATAACGGAAGGTTGCTACTAAAGAAAGATTTATTCTCCCAATTACGTTTCTCCCGTTATGGGTATTATTATATCCGTGATATAATAACATTGTACTTCACGGATGGAACGGAATGGCTGAAAGGAAAAGGAATGATAAACATAATTTATTCTCAGGGAGACTTTTATACCACTAAGCCATACACAAAACTATATATATATATATATATATATATATATATATATATATATATATATATATGTGTGTGTGTGTGTGTGTGTGTGTGTGTGTGTGTGTGTGTCCCGAGCGGAGAAAATAACATATATCTACAAGGCGAAGTAGAAAAGAAGAAACAAAAAGGAAATGCCTTACATATAATATGGAGATACTCCTGTAACTGGTGATGTCATATTTAGGAATTGAGGACTGCGAGCCAGAGTTTCATTCTATATCTGGGAAAGATACATTCCCAAAGTGAAAACGCCACAATAGATTTGCAAGGCAGATTTAGCCTTTTTCCCGGGCCATTTCTTAAAAAAAAAAAAACAACCTTACGGTTTGGCTGTTGTAAAACGTAATGGATTTGATTGCCACTTTCGTCCCTGTGTGGAGTGACAACACCAAAAGGCTGTCATGTTACCCATTTGACTTATCCCCACCAAGGAGAGATAAGTGCCTTCTGCAGCCCTACACATTCATAAGCCAGAAGATCAGCCTCAGATGCTGTACCAGCAATATCCGCCTCTGACATCTCGATCCAACATCGTGCTCCTTTAAACTGAGAAAATACCAGTAGTTAATATAGAAATATCTCTTTCTTTCTTTCGTCTCTCTCTCTCTCTCTCTCTCTCTCTTTCTTTCTTTCTTTCTCCATCTCTGCCTTTTTATTTCTATCAAAACGTCTTTGACTTTAAAATTATTCTTTTGAATTGATTTGAATACGTCTTAGCGTTTCGGTTACTCTCGCGTCGGGAATAGACGGAGTGGTTGGATTAAATGGGTAAGTTGGAAAACTAATTCAAAAACAATTTGTTTTTAGAACAAAAAGAAGGGAAGGTTGGAATACATGGACTAGCTGGTACAAAATTTAAAATAAAATAACAGTGTATAGGTTGTAAAAACTTCAAATATTAAATAAACGGTCAGGCCCGTCTATTCAGTGTGCGAGTAATATTTATATCCATGCACCACAACCAACTGTACCTCGTATTCTCGTATTGATAGGAAACCCGTCTTCGGGCAGTACCTCTATATATATATATATATATATATATATATATATATATATATATATATATATTATAATTAATTGATTTAAAATATGTTTTTTCTTCGCTACACAGTTCTAACCATGTTTCAAAAAAATGTTTTGAAACATGGTTAGAACTGTGTAGCGAAAAAAAACATATTTTAAATCAATTAATTTATAATATTAATACTCTGTAAATTTACATTGAGCACTATTTTGTAAAAATAAAAATATCTATAAGAACACCGGATTATATATTTTGCTGTTCTTTCTTTTTATATATATAAAAATATAGTACAGGGTTGGTACAAATTCCCATAACCAAAAACACTATTCTTAAAAGAGTGCTCAATACCGAGTAGAGCAAATAATATTTATTCAAAATTCTGACATATGCATGTTATAACATCACTACATATACTGGGTTCAAATCAACCTTCATGAAAGGTTGAAACGACCTATTGTTAAGGTCTAGGGTAACATCTAATGTACATTCCATTATATGTAGTGATGCTACTACATGCATATGTTATAATTTTGATTAAATATTATTTGCTCTACTCGGTATTGAGCACTCTTATATATACATGTGTGTGTGTATTTGGTCAGCAATCCCTCTTTTATACATGTTTTATTAAAGACGACTGACAAGGTACTACGCTTAAGCCTGTGTTCGTGTAAGTCATTTCTTTTCTGGATATAAAGTGTGTAAAACTATGAGAATGTTCTATATATCCAAGCGTTTTCGGCTATTCTGTTAATCATTATCATGGATTTTTATTTTATTTTTAACTGAATGTGTAGATTTTTATATATGTTTCTAGAGTGTCGGGAATGTTTTTTTTTATTTATTTTCCAAACACGATCAGCATGTTGTGGCTGTGTTCATAGTTGATGATGCTGAGTGTTGGCTTTTTCCTTTTTTTTATTATTAATGCTTCCAATTATTTTTAGTCTTTTTCTTTTTACATGTGGACGATGCTATTAGACGTGTATGTATATACTTTTTATATATTTATTTATTTCAGATATTGACGAATGTGAAAATTCACTCCATGGCTGCGACCAACTTTGTGTGAATTCATTGGGTTCTTTCGCGTGCGCATGTCAGCCAGGTTTCTACCTTCTTCCAGACTCAAAGACCTGCCAAAGTATTTATTTCTTTTTATTTTATTATATTTTATTTATTGTACGTCTCCTTTCACAAGGAAATCAGTTAAGAAATGAGTAATAAACAACTGCTTAAGACTTATGACCGAGTGATATCATTTCACGAGTGATATCATTTTCAACTAAATTATTATTGTATTAATGTTGATACAAGTTTGTCTGATTTATTCGAACTGGTGTCCCCATCACTGTTGCTGTAATCATAACGTTTTTGGCTATTTCTAAGATGTGGAAATATTATACAGTATTTTATTTATTCAAACTGGTGTCTTCATCTTGGTTGATATAATCACAACGTTTCGACTGCTGTACCTTTCAGCCTTTTTCAAGAACCTGTCGTATTCGGTAACATCCTCAGAATTCGAATGTTCATTCCACGGGAGTAGAGTGTTCGCATTCCGCTGTTCACGCTAAGTGGAAATAACTGGTATCATTTCTTCTTAGTTAATTCACCCTTGTAATGCTGCTACTTAGCACTCATGCAAACCATACTCTATAAATTGTATTGCCTTTATCCAGGAGCTAAACTAACAACCCCAGGTAATCGACATTCGCTTAATGAACACTTACATCCACCGTCTTTCTAGCTTCCCACAGTCTATCACTTTCTCGGGATAACATTCTGTCGTAACATTCAGAAAGCGAGACTCATCAGACAATGCCAACTTGCATGTGTCTCGATGGAAAAGGTCACATGCGTGTCCGAAAATTCAGACTTTAAAATCTTTCTCTTCGTGCTTCAATTTAGTCAAAAGGATAATATATGATAAATATCATCTATGTTATTGCCAATATTGTTATCATTTTGTTGGCTTTTTATTCCTTAATTCTTATTAACCAGGCTATTAAATATCCCTCTCTCTCTCTCGTATATATATATATATATATATATATATACACGAGGATCATTCAAAAAGTACTAAACCTCACTAAAAGAAGTTGGAGAAACAAGACAGTTTTTCATTATTTTTCAATATAGTCCCTCTTGCCATCAATGCATTTGGTACAACGATACTTAAGTATTACAATTCGATCACGGAAGAAGGTAGCGTCCTGATCCTTCAAAAACTCCTCCACAGAACATATATATATATATATATATATATATATATATATATATATATATATATATATATATATATATACATGCACTCAGACACGAGAGGACAAGAAGAAAACGCCGGGTTGATTCATATTTTATTTTATTATCTGAGTACTTTCGACATAACATAATGTCATCATTAGGGTATTGTTAATTAAGTGTTGTAATAATGTTCATGGTTGTGAAAGACAAAAATTGTTGGAATCATCTGAAAATTAACTGTGGAGTCAAGAACGCTGTGTCATGCCGTGCTAACAAGCACTTTTGACAAGGCATCAGCTCTTGACAAGGCATCTGAAGATTGAAGTCATTAAAATATATCGTCTCTGTTTTTGTTTTTCAGAAGAGAATAACTGTTTAGTGGACAATGGAGGTTGCCAGCACATTTGTCTTTTCGGAAACAAGACAAATTTATGCGACTGTCGAATTGGTTATGTTATACAGAAAGATGGAAAGTCTTGTAAAGGTAAGCACTATATTCATCCATTTTACTTATCAAATATTTTTCTCGAATTATAAATTACCGTCACTCCTCACTTAACGACGTTTTGACGACCTCGGACTTACGACCAATTATAAAAATTTCATAAAATAGAGAAATCCAGCCAGTCGGTATTGTACGTTGTCTGAGAAGTTGACAGCGATTGTTCTCTCTTTCTTCAAAATGAATCAAAATAAAATAATTTAAAAAGTGAAAAATAAATGAAAATTTACTTGTGCACGATAAAAGCCGAACTAATGTACAGAATATACCCCGCCCTAGCCATGACGATAAACTACATCCGCGTCATGGGTAAGACGATAAACTACGTTCAAGAGTAAGGCCTCTGATCAGGAGGTTTTGAGGAGCGTAGAACCACCTTTTAATTGCTCTTATTTCCAAGCCCACACCGTCCCGGGGTGGTAGCATCTTTTACGATCCCAGCTATGGGCAAATAGTTAACCTCCAGCCTGGAATCAAAACACTATGAAAGTGTAAAGACGAGTTTTAATACCAGAAATACTTTGTAAGATAAAAAAAAAAGTTATTGCCAGCAATGAATTTTTGAAGAGGGGGTTATTACCAGCAATACATTATTACCAGCAATTCATTTTTGAAAAAAAAGAAAATATTACCGGCCATGTATTTTTGCGGGGGAAGATATGAACAGCAATACATTTTTGGAAAAAATATTACCAGAAATAGATTTTTGAATAAAAAATATTACCAGAAATAGATTTTTGAATAAAAAATATTACCAGAAATAGATTTTTGAATAAAAAATATTACCAGAAATAGATTTTTGGAGGAAAAACATATTGCCAGCAATACATTTTTCAAAAAAAAAAAATAGTATTACCAGCAATAAAAATTTTGACGGTATTAAATAACCAATTGAGGTTGATATAAACAAACTAAACCAAACAGAATATGCCGCTGATGTTTGAATTTGCTTATTATGTTTATTGTTCTGTACACTACGCTACTGCATAAACATTTGGAAATGAATTAAAAATGTTACAATAAATGCAAAAGCAATAGTTAAGCTTTCTGAAATCTGTAAGGTACATGTCACTTAGCGCCCAATGCGCTTAGCCATCAGGTCGTTAAATGAGTGGTTGTATTGTAAAATTATATAATTTTTCTACTTAGAAAATGTATATTAATCAATCAATACACCCGCATAGTCTGACTCTCTACTTGGATCTTTGAACTGTTAGCAACTTCGTTTCACTACAGTTCATTTTCATTTTTCTGAGATCTTCTCCGATTGTTCGTTGTCATTTGGTTTTCAATCGACCTCACTTCCTGTTTTTCATCAGATATCAAATATAGTATGTGAAATGTGAATAAATTAGCCCTCTGGCCAAGCCACTTCATCCGTCAATTGTAGATTAGCTTGTTTCCAAAGTACATTGGTTACAAATCTATCCACAAAACATCTAGAATTTTCTTTAGACATTTTATGTCTTCTTTTGGTTGTTATGTAGCATTCTTTGCTGCCATACTACAAGATGGAGAGGACATTGGAAGCAATTTCAGTCAGAAATATACAGATGTAAAACTTCAAAGATAACGCTGACGTTATTATATGACACTAGAACCTCAGAGAGTTAATCCCACAAAAAAAGGGAAAAAAGAAAAAGAAAAGATACGACTAACTGGATGATAATTTTTGAAATTCGTAGGAAAGTGGATTGAAAAGTTGAAAAGAAAATTAAAAACGAAATGCGTTGAAAAATTAAGTTTCAAAATAATAAAATGAAATCCTGAAAATGTTCAAGGAGAATCGAACCCAAATTTAACTGGACGGAATTCAGTAAAATTGAGCAAAATCAAGACTACACGCCCTTCCCCCACTTCACGCCGATAAGAAAGAGACAATTAATGTATCATCGAAGACGTCGGTCCTGGAAAACAGAAAAACACAT